AGATGGGGACGATTGTGCTGCTCCTCCACGCATCTGGCATCCTTCCTTCAGCCGTTACGTTGTTTAGGAAGTGTGTGAGCCAACTCACCCCATGCTCTCCAAGGGCCTTCCATGCCTCTATCGGTACCCCGTCTGGACCCACTGCTTTCCCAACCTTTCATTCTGCCTAGACTTCATCCTTCGTCCAGGGAGTGATGGGACCTGCCGTCGCCTCTATCTGTGGGCTATCCTTGCGAGGGAATTCTTCGTTCAGAAGTCCCTCGAAGTATTCTTCCCACCTCTTCCTGACTTCGGCTGGTTTCCTGAGTATGGCCCCGTTCCTGTTCCCCATCGTACAACGTACCATCACGAAAGTGGTCATGTATCTACAACCCAGGTGTGACTGCACTCATTACTAACTTTGTCGTCTAGCTCATTTTCAGTTCGCCTTTCTCTTCTCTAGTCCTTTGTCTCCTGGCCTCTCGCCGGCGTAACGGTGTCTCGTTCCTTCGAATATGTGTCCAATGAGGAACCTTATTTGAGGCGTGTCACAGTTTTGTCCCCCCGCTTCCTCATCAGTGATTCAATTGGCATCTGCGATTTATACCTGGACTTCAAGCCCACGGAGTGCTGCTGCGGATTATGTCCTTGATATTTACCTGGACAAAAACAACACTTGGTTCTATGCTGCTACCCAGCAATCTATGTCCAAACACTAAGCATCAAATAACTTCCCTCTCAGTGCCTGTCAAGAATAGGACGATTCCAATACTCGAGTTTCCCCGGGCTCCCCTACGCCTTCCCCTTGAGTGCTGTGCCGTCGAATGCATTGTTTAGTACGCAGTTTGCAAGCGAAGTCTCGCCACAAATGATTTGACGACAGAGAAACCGACTTGATTGCGCTATTCTATCTGTTATGATGTGGTATCTGTGTCACTCTTTGTATCCAGGAATCGGATGCTGTCATAGTGGAAAGATTTATTTTCGTTTGTCAGTTCTCATGTGTTGTGCTCAAGCAATGGCGTGACTGTGTTTCTCTGAGATCATCAGTAGTTCACAATGGTCCTTTCTTGTGTGGGGTGAGAGGACCCTTGCAAGTGATTTTCTCAATTTGCCAACTTTTGTGGTGTTCAAGTCACCTGGTTGTCTTGAGCTACTCTCATCCTTTCTTTAATTTAATATACGTTCATTATGTGGTATAATTTTACATAGCAACAGATGACGGATTGTCGCAGCCTTCGCGACTGTTTATTGGAGAATGTCGACGATTTGGAATTTATCACAAAACAGGTATGTCTGTTGCCCTCATTCTCATTTCTCTATTTACTGGGATGTACAGTTGTAACATCTCTTCCTAACATGGAATCAAGTTACTGCCACTGTGTAAGTGATTCAAAGGGATACGGGACGTTAGGTCCACTACGGAGCCACCTTCGCCGCAGCTTGTGCAGTTGATATTGTCGCAATCAGCTTGGGGATACGACGTTTGCACCTCTGGTTGTTTTCTTCCGAAATCGACCACTAAGCGATCACCATTGCTAGAGCAGGGCAGCCGCAAGTGGGCTCATCTCCGTCCCTCCTGACACTTCTCCGGGCGAACTTATCGTTGGCAACCATATGTAACATCTCATACCCCGATTTAAAAGCTATGGCTTTCTAGAACTCACATTTGCTAGGAATTGTTCTAATCTTTTATTGAGAATGATCATTACGATCTCACCATTTCTTTTCGTATTGACGACTTTATTTCTTCAAAATGAGAATAATTATT